AGTTGGAAAAGAGGTAAGGATAACAAAAATTTTAAATGTTCCTCTGATGTTGTTTGTTTTGAATGCAGGAAGCCTGGGTATATCAAAGCTGATTGTCCTACACTTAAGGATCACTCAAGTAAAGAAAATAGTGAGGAGAAACCTAAGGTCAGGAAGTATAAGAAGCGAGTCCAAAAGGCATTCTGGGTGGAATCTGCATCTTACTCCTCTGAGACTGAGGAAGAGGAAGAAATAACAAACTTGTGCTTAATGGCAGATGACCATCTTAGTCAAAGTGACCAAGAAGATGTATTTGAACCAAGCTATGACCAATTTCTTGAAATATGTGAGAAAATTCATGCATCATATAGAAAACTTAAGAAAACTCATCCTAGTTTGAAATTGGAGTTTTAAATTTATAAAAAAGAGCATGAAATTTTGAGTAAAGATCACCTCCAAATTGATAGAAATCACATGTCTCTACTTGATGAATTTAGTGATTTAAATAAAAAGCATTATGAATTAATTGTTGAGCATGATTCTTTGAAAGCTTCATACACCTCGCTTGAATCTGATTTTAAAGCTTCTACCAAAGATTATGAGCATAAAAAATACTGTTTGGATATTGATTTAGAAAATGCTAACTTGTTGTTTAAAGCAAAATTGAATACACTTGAGAGAAATTGGAATACATCAATACTTGATTTAAAGCCAAAACCTAGGAAGAGGCATTATAACCCGAACTGATTAAGAAATCCTTTTCCTGGTGTTAGATATTTTTTATATGGCATGTTAGGATATATAGCACACACTTGCACCATTCACCGTAGTACACATTGGGTTTGGATATCAAAACTGCATGTTTCACAACATAATATAAATGCATTACATTCTTCCTTTCATAAGGAGGGACCCAAACCTGTTTGGGTTCCTAAATCTAACGTTGATGATTTTTGTAGGTGTGCTCTCACCAAAGATCTCGTGAGAGCTTAAACAGCGGAGGATCGCCACTCATAATTGCTTAAACTTGCTACTTAATAAGTTCAAGATTGCATACTCTATTGATTATTATTATTGCTGTCTTTTGTTTTTGTGTTAGCTTTTCATGTTTGTTGTTGTTTTTACTTTGGCTTTCTTCTTACTTCATGATAATTTTTCCTAGTTTTTTTAAGACTTATAGCCAATATTTAACATCTCTAAATCAGTTAAAGGGAGAAACACCGTTGATGGTTTTCCCTCCCTCCAACATCTTTTAGTGGTATAATTTTCTTTTCTAAACAAAAGTCTATCTCAAATTAACTACTGGATTTTGAAATTAAGATCTTTTCTATCTTGCTACAATAATATACCTTATATACATAATATTCAAAATTTTAATATATCTTTTATGTTAATTGAAATCTTGCCATTGCATTTAAGTTTTCTCCTTTTATCCTTTAAGACGCCTTTTATTTTAGTCTATACATATCAAAGCTTTTGTCATATAGGATGATTATGAGATTAAATGTAAAGTTTCTTCTCATTTGTTCTATTCTTCGTATGTATTTTCATTCATATATGAATAACTACCAGTGTGTATGAGTTCACAACCCTTAAAGAAAAACATCAAAGTATGAAAATAGATCCATGTCACTACGAGAAAATCACCAATTACCAGCGATCAAAGAACCACAAGAATTACTGACGGCTAAACAGGCCATGTGATTGCTTGTTTTAACCGGCAATTTAGATGGCAATTTTTAATAATAAACCACCAAAAATGCCTGTGATAAAATAACCACCAGATAGGCCGCTGATTTTTTATTTCGGTGTCGCATATTATCGGTGGTTTTGCTGTTGATGTTAAGTGATTTTTTTCTGGCAATCCAAACCACCGGATAAACGTCAAAAATTGACCTAAAATTGGTCAAACAGACCCTTCCTCCTCATTTCTTCACATTTTTGTTTTTCGTCGAGACGCCTCTCAAGCTCGCCTCCAACAGCGTCTGCAGGACTCCGGCTGTCGATACTGGATGGTTTATTTAGTTGCCAATGTTTTAATATAGCCGACGGTAAATACCGGTGGTCCACCAGTAGCCTAGCCGCCGGCAGTACTAGCATTTGAGATGGCTGGTACGCTGTCGCCAATTAGCCAGTGGTCACCGGCACTTTGATCGCCATAATTTTCCGACTATTATATCTGTCGGAAACCATCAAAATATTTAGTTGCCAGAAAATAGTCATCGCAATTTGTTTCCTATACGGTTTATACCGGCGGTTAACAGAACACCGGAAAACCGCTAATATATTGTCAAACCGTCGAAAAAAGTTATGAACTGTCAGAAAATGCTGCCACTAATTGGCAATTTTCATGTAGTGTGTGATTATAGATTGTTGGTAGAGTTCTACTGCAACTTATCTCCTTATCTCCATTGATTTCTTTAACTTTATTGCAAATTAAATCATCCATAACTTGCACCCGTACTTTCAACTGATTAGATATCTAAGATACTTAACATAATAGAGGCTAAAGCATCTCACTGTCCTTATGTTGTTATTATCATATTTGTTATTCACTCCTTGCATTAATAATAATACCATTGCAAAGCCTTGAAAATGCTTGAAAAAATAACTTCATGTATTAGAACTATTGTGAAACCTTTGAAACTCAGAATAATTTTTCAAAACAACTCTTTCATGAACTCTCTTCTTTTATGCCATGAATATCCCTCCCTTCTCTCTTTTTGACTTTTAGGCTATTTTTTTTCTCTTGTTTGTAAAGACCTTCACCTTAGTCATGTATGATTTAAAAATAAAGAATTAGTTTTTTGAGTTTTTTGCTCTTATTGTGAGATTTCCACTCTCAATGTCATGAGCCATCTCTTTGAAAAAAAAAACACTCTAAGTAAATATATTCCTTTGATAATGGACTATTCATAGGGTTTGATTTCAACTTATCACCATTTTTGTATCTTGTAAGTTAGATTATTTAAAGCTTCATTTATTCTTTTCCTTCGTATGGCTTAATGTCAATGGTGGTTAACATAACTACATGTTGAAATACTCACCCTTATTGTTCTATAATTATCGTGTTTATATTCAATAATAATTTTTTGTTTATCATCATTCACTTGCAGGTAATTTAACAATAAATTAGTATAATCATAATACTTCATCATCACATTTAGTTTAATTCATCAAATGATAGATCTGCAATAGTTTTTAATCGTCCTACATTAAAGATATTTGAAAAACAACACTTGAAACTTCATCAATTGAATCAATGGTTTTTTTTCTCTTTTTTCTTATTTAAAGAAAATTTTAGATTTGAATGTTTCTTTGCAATGGCCAACACCTCCTTTAACAACTTTAATGTTAGAATTTTATTTCCATTTTTGAAAAACTTTATCTTCATGAATCAAATTGATACCCTAACAATGATCTAAAAATAATATAACTTAAAATATCAATTATCATGGGTCCATCAACTAAAACAAAAACAAGAATATATGATTATTATTTCCAAGCATCCCTCATTCATTATCCATAATTCACTTAATCCATAATAAGCAAGGCCAATAAGTATCCTTTCCTATAAGGATAACCATGCATTTCCCAAAGCACCAAAAAGTGGGGTCACATTTATCTGGCATTAGTGAAGCATGCCATGTAACACGTGTACATGTTTGGATCCCACCACGTGGCATGCTTCTTTCAGCACATAAAATATAATATATCTTAATAATATGATGACATCACAATAGATATTAGCATGCAAAATATCTGACTTGGTGACATTTCTATTGGCTTTTTGTTAGTGATGCTTTATAATTCAAATTTATTTTGAATTGAATAAATATGTTATATAATTAATTAAATTTTATAATGATTTATTAAAAATATTAAGATATTTTAATCAAATCTTTCTTTTTATATTTATTTCTAAAAATTGAGTGTGATAAATAATGAACTGTATGCTCTAAAAAATAAGAGGGGGGCTGAGTGGAAGATTTTCATACATACCACTTTATTTCATGCAATTTATATATCTAATACCTAAAGTTTTAATATTACTTTCTAACAATCATATAACATTTTAATATTAAATATATAACTCATATATTTGATTCTTACAACCAATATTAAGTTATGAACTTTAATATTTCATTTCATGCACTCATATTTATTTTATGAGTAGCAGACATGTAATATTAAGATTTTTAGGGTTAGATATGTAAATAACATAAAATAAAATGGTATATATGTAAATAAAAAAATATGTTGTTACTAAACATTAACTAGCTAATAGAATAATCTTAATGGAAGAAGTTGATGCTTGTTTTTAGAGGTTGTTCGTATGCACGTTCTTACTAAATCCTGCCAAATAGGATCTGAGCAATCGTTAAGATTTCGTATGGGACAACTTTTTTATTGTCTTCTAAAATTATTTTTTAGCATAAAAATTTATTGAATTATAAAACTTTATATTCAAAGATTTTTCTAGAAAACAATAACAAAAGCGGTCCCATCTCATGACACAAAAAATTTATAATTTTGCTCTTTTTTAACTAAACCTTGGATTTATCAAATCCTCTATCCAGCTAGCGGATTTAACTTCTTACCTTGTACGAGGAAAAGAAGAAACATTCGCATCCTACAATGTTCTCAAAAAAATTTTCAGAATTTATAAGTTTTCTTGCTAAACCATTTTAGGATTTAACTTTAGGGGGATATATTAAAATCGGATTTATAGAATTTATTAAATTCTACTTGTTGCCAAACAGCTCCTTAGGCTGATTGGTTAAATTTTTTTACTCGATTCAAAAGATTTTTTAATTTGATAATTTTTATCACTCTTAAAATTTTCTCCCTGTTAATTCTTAAATTTTAAATTTTCTTTTGACTGTAATTGATGCAAGTCATATTTCGTATGTATTTATATAAATAATATAAATTTTTATATTTACTTAAATAACATAAAAAATGTCACTAATAATTTGCTTTTACTGTTCCTTCTTGTACCTTTGACAATAAATTTGCCAATCTTTGAGCACATCAATACAACTGACCTGCAACATTCCACACATGGCTGATAGCAATAGTTTCTTCAACCTCAAGGAAGCCATGGAGAAGCTCTGGTTCCACCATAATATCCTATTCTCTCAGCCTATTGAGATCCATACATCCTTGCAAAGCGGCTCTAATGAGGTAAATAAATAAATATAATCTTCATCACATGTTGTTCTCCACTTATATCTCCAAACAGGCTTTTTTTTTAATAAACTTCCCACCTAACTACAGGTTTCAGCTCATGAGGAAAAGATCAAAAAGAAACCAGAAAGATTGAATATTCCAATCAATCAACCTCTCTATGAATTGCAGTTACCAAGAAGAATTAAAGATAAAGGCTCGGATTTAGCAGAAAGAAGAATAGCCAGGATGAGGAAGAATAACTGGAGCTTATCTGAGCTTGAAAATTTTGAGATTGAAGGGTTTAAAGATCTTGGTTTCGACTTCAATAAGGAAAAACTAAGTCCAGAAATGATCAGAATGGTTCCAGGTCTGAGAAGACTTGAGGGAACAGATGAGAGTTTGGAAGATAGAGAAGTGAGAAGGCCATATCTTTCAGAAGTTTGGTTACTTGATAGATCTGATTCTCTGTTGAATTTTCCCAGATCTCATGACAGTGCAGATATGAAGAAGCATCTTAGGTCCTGGGCACATAACGTGGCTTCTTCAATTCATGAAGAATCATAGCATCAAAGGGAAATCGCACAAGATATATCTTGTAGAGCCATGGCTTCTCACTGATTTCAAGAGAACAGTTTTGTATAGAGATAGACATGGGCAAAAGAATTGTATCTGTCAAAAAAAAAGCACAAAAAAATAAGTGTTTGACTGTTGAAGGAAGAAATTAAATTGAGGAGGCTTTACCTCATTGCTGTGAATATTTTGTTATATATTATTTGGGTGGAGAGGAATATCGGTTTACACAGTTCTAAATGATCGACTTCCTGTGTTCTGAAATATAGAATTAAATTACAAGCTGTTCTTAAACTTTACAGATGGAATGTGAAGCATAACTTGCCTCATGAGGTAGGTTTTTGGCTCGACGAAGGTATTGGCGACTGCTCTGCCCTTTTAAGCATTTGATTATTTCTGTATTCTTATTGCATCACCCACTAATTTATTTTTTTGGTCTTTTCTTACTTCTCACTGGCTAGATTCTGCTATTTTATTTGGGAATTTATTTCTGCATCGTGCCATTCCATGTTGAGTCCAATTATCCTTCCTCTTCCTTTGTCTGTCTTCTAGTACTGCTAGTTTTGCATATATATATATATATATATATATATATTTGAGCTGTAGTAGTAAAATAGAAGTGTATTTTAGAGCTAATATATATATTTTTTTTTGTGAAATGATTTTTTTGGGGGCAAATTTACTTACATAACACTCAAAACATTAGCATTTACATATTTAATATATATAATTCACTATTTATAAATATGACATTCTAAACATGAACATAAATAAAAAGTAACACCTCCCCATATGGACCCATCAATGCCCTCATTTGTGAGTTCTTGATAGTAGTGATACATTTGCCAAAACTTTTTAAGCCCACAATAGCAAATAAGTGAAGAAATTGCACAAGAGCTCATAGGTGAAGGCATCCTTAGGTCCATAAGGCGATGTCGACAGTCCCAATGACATGTCAGGCAAGATTCAACAAGTGTTTGACAAGATCCGCTAACTACATTAACAAAGTGTGAGAATGTATAAATGATAAAATTTATGTGTTAAATATGTAAATATTAATAATTTGAGTGTTTTGTATGCAAATCCTCTTTTCTTATAAATTGTCGAGATGTAGTAAAGATGGTGGTAACAATAGCGTTGATGAGCTGACACAACTATAAATAAGCCTCCATGAAAAATGGGGGAAAAGGTGTGGTGGAAGATAAGATCACAATTGAACAATAAAAAATAAAAAAAGTGGAAAAGAAAATAGGGAATTGAAAGTGATAAGGTAAGTAATCAATCAAGAAGAGACAAAGGGAATCAACTTTATCAACTAGAGTTAAAAGCAAAGATTTTTCTTAAAATGCGTTGGATCATAATAGCTTGGATACTGTACTACCATAAGGTGGTGAATGTTGGATTATTGCATAAGTGAGTAAAATCACATTTGATATTATTACTACTATGAACAAACATATATCTTATGGAACTACTTAGATTTTGTGTATATTTCTATTGTTGTGACTTTATTATAATCGCACTCTTAATATTTTTGTCCCAACACTTACTATATTGAGAAGTGTAAATCAAGAAGGATCATGGCTAGTCTGAATAAACCAATACTCTAGTTTATTTTTCACCCAAAAATTTGAGGTATAGCAAAATAGCTAATCAGTAATATTTAAACATTAAGATTTTTTTCAACTATTCCATGTGCGATATACTCATGTGTTTTATTAAATCTCCCCCTAAAACTCCCCTTAAAAATGAAAGATTTTTATGATATTAAATTCTCACTCAACTGCGTAGTTAAAACATAAGAGACTAACTTTGGAATGTTGCTCAACTATAGTTGAAGGTATAATCACATGAATAACTATTTAATGTTCTTCTCTGAGATTCTTATTGGGGAATGTGAAATAAAAACTTGTTGGGAAATATGGAATGAACATGATTAAAGTTGAGCTTGATAGAATATTTAAATTAATTCTTAACAAAAAGTATAAACATAAAAGTAGGATCAGATGCTTAAAAAAGTTAATTGATTTACCCCCATTATATGGCATTATTTGTTTTACACCATAACTTAATTCACATTAATAATGAAAATTTACATCCTAGTGCATTTGAAAAGAAAACAAAAATGAAATCAGAATATATGAAATCAGAATATATAACAAAAAACAAATCAATATATGCATAATTAGTAATATTGTGTATATTCCTCATAAAAATTGCATGTCACTCAGCCACAGAAAATGTTATAACATATATTCTATGATTATCAGAATCATCTTCTTGCATAAATAGTAAAAATAAAATGAGATACATGTGGTTTGTAAGGAAAACCACAGTCCATCATCCAATATTTTTACCACTTGCATTTTCCAATGACCTCATTACCTATTGTTTAAATACAATCCTCATATTAGCATCAACATAGATGTGAATTGTGAAGAGATGTATACTAAGCTTCTCTTCCATGTAAAGAGCTTACAAAGGACCAATTCCACGTCGTGACCTCTGACCATTTCTTGAATTATTTGAGCCCCACCGGATAGCCTCTGCAACAGCGTGTTGGCGATTCACGGTAGTCTTATCAACAAGTATTCCATGGATGTTGGGTATATCATCTTCTTGTGAGTCTAAGAGAGGCTGACGATGGTTGGAGCTCCCGTCAACCACACTGCATGGTGATTCTTGAAGGTAGCATAGAGCTACAACTACATCTGCCATCACTGGACGAACTGAAGCATCCTCTTGGAGGCACATAGCGGCAACTGCCATTGCCTGGTTTAGGCCCCTTGATGGGAAGTTCTCTCCCAGAAGAGGATCCACTAACTCTGGATATCTCTTTTGATCCTTGAATATGGGTTGTGCCTGGTGTTTCAAGTAATTGCCAGAGAAATAATATTACTCTATAGGTAGTTATAAATTTGATACAATTCCAAAATCTTTAGGCAAGATATCTAGCATCTGAAATGAATTCTTTTTGTTAAAGAATATCTTTACAATAGTTCTATCATTTTTTGTTTGTATGTGTGTGTTGTTGTTGTTGCGTGTGTGTGGGTGTGTGTGTTGGGGGGAGGGGAGAAGTTTCTTAAGTTGACCAATGACTTTTGAGGTCCATCTTTTCCAAATAATATTGATATTTTTTTAGTTAAAAATATTGATATTTCACTATTCTCCATTATTTATCTTATGATATTTGAATCTAATTATTTTTTGGTTATAATTTTGTTGAGGTGGAAACCATGACCTTGGCAATGATTTTCAAAGCCCTTAACAAATGAACTGGTTTTCACCTTCGTCAATCTGATATTGCTTAACAACATCTATTTATTAGAAAATTGCATCTAATTATTACAAGAAATACATAAAGATAATATATAAAAACTATTTACCATGTGCTTCAATACAGCAATAGGATTAAAGAGAAAGGAAACTATATAGTGTGGGAATTCGAATAGGTGAATAATGATTAGAGATCATGTTATGCATATGAGGTGGAAGAAAAGAATAAAATTCGTATAACAAATAATTATTTGATAAATTTTAAATTTTAAGTCAACTAAGAATAAAAAATAATTAAAATTAGTGAAAGGACTTAACAAATAAATGGAAGCCAAATCAAGAAGCTTAGGGCTTCTCATTGCTTGAATCTATAAATCATAAATCATATTTTGAATAATGATGAAGTTTGTTAAATCATAATCCTAAATAGCAACCAAAAAACCCTTAGAGAATTCCCCTTTTTTCCATTAAACACCACAATATTTTGCTTTTGGTTGTAGCATGTTGTTGGATGGTGGTCCTACTTATGTGGGTGAAATCAATATGTTGTAGTTTTAGGCAAATGATATTACTTTAGGCAACATATTCTATTTTAAGAACTGTGAAACAACTTTAGTAAATTCAATGGAAGATACAATTGATTTAATGAGGATTTTATCATGATTGGCTTTGTTTAGAGTTACTTAATTTCATGAAAATGATAATGGACAATTACTTCTAAGATACCATATTTCAGTACATTGTTCCAAATGGTTGAAAAGCAATTTGTGAACCAAACATACCAAGGCAACTAGATTTTGCTCCTTAATCGGCCTCCTTGTGTCAATGACTCTTTTGCCTGTGATAAGCTCTAGGAGCACCACTCCAAAGCTATATACATCTGACTTAATAGTGAGTTGACCAGTCCTGGCATACTCTGGTGCACAATAACCATAGGTACCCATCACTCTCGATGATAAATTGGCCTTTTCATCAAGAGAACTGAGCTTAGCAAGGCCAAAATCTGAGAGCTTTGGGATGTAGTCCTCATTGAGTAAGATGTTTGATGATTTGAGATCACGGTATATTACAGGAGGAGTAGCTTTCTCATGCAAATACTCGAGACCTTTGGCTGCGCCGAATGCTATCTTCATTCTTGTGAACCAACTAAGGGGCGTTTGATTAGGTGATATCTCTGCAATAAAATTCAGCTCATAAATCATACAATTTGAATACAATTTTTGCAGCATTATTGATTATAGGTTAATACGTTTACCAAGCAAATGGTCTTCTAAAGAACCCAGAGCCATGTACTCATAAACCAAAAGCCTTTGCTCTCCATCAGCACAATATCCAATGAGGTTGACAAGGTGCTCATGATGGAGCAGGCTGAGCATGAGGACCTCCACAAGGAACTCTCTGTTTCCTTGCACGCCATTCCTATCTAGCTGCTTAATAGCTACAACCTGTGTAAGAACCAATAGAATAATATGCTATGAATTCTGAGACACAAGTGAGTTAAGTCTATTAAGTTAGTTAGATCTTCTATGTAATGTTCAAGTTACAAGCATATATGCATTTTTTTATTCACGAACATCTTTAAGTTGCTAATTCTTAACAACATTCTAGTAATCAATCTTTATAACACTATTTTTAACCTAATGCAAATGCGCCTTCTAAATAATATTGAACCAAGTAGCCCCTTCATAATATCATGATAGATAGAATAAAAATGAAAAAATGTCTATGTACCTGGCCAGTTTTTTCAAGTCGGCCCTTATAAACTCTTCCAAATCCTCCTTCACCAATAAGACATTCTGGTCGAAAGTTTTTGGTAGCCGCAGCGAGCTCACGGAATGTGAATGTTTGTGCTGCAATGTTTCCATTTCCCGTGTCTCTTTTCTCTGCCACTGTTTTAGCTACAGCCCTCTGTTTTGCTACTCCTGCACTATGACAATTTATATTACCATGCTGAATCTATAAGCAGTGATTATACCACAAATTAAAGTTTAATCATGTTAAGTATTGTGTTTGTTCTAGACCTCGACTCAACCCGGAATTTATTCCATCAAAACCACTTGGTTTTAAAATAAAATAAGAAGGAATCAATCCCAGCTACTACAAATCAATCATGAGGCTAAAACCAGTATAGCACATTCGCAATTACTAGGGTGATTGGAGAGGATCCAAATGAGACCTACATAACACGGAACGAAGACACATTTAAACTATAAATTTAAGCCCTGTAGAATTTAATCACTCTAAACAGTTGCGATAGGTTTAATTGCAATAAGGAACTCATCATTTTACATCTGATGCAAGCAATTCTTTTGAACCACTCTCATGTCCATCCCAACATGAATCATGCTTTTTTTTTAATATTTGTAAATAAGCTTGAATAGCTAAATAGGACTATTTAATCTAACTTGATCAATTTAATTAGACTTTAATCCACCTCATCCTTGGCGCATCAACTCTATTGTGCAAGTCTTAAAGATGCATATATTCACGTTTAGTTAAAAAAAAAAATTAAATGAAAATTAACTCAAAGTAAACTTATCTTGAGCAAAATGTGATCAGGATATCTGATCCAATTTTTTTCTTCCTATATAAGTGTCACTTAGTTTCCAATCAAAATGCAGAAATTTGCTAGATTCGTGAACGATTTCATTTTAACACATAATATGCTTAAATAAAAACATGACCAAACATATTACAGCACCTTCAACCAAATATTTGATTTAAATTCAACTTCTTCTGAATTTCAATGCTTAAGAGAAAATTAGAATTGATCTTATACATATTATAAAAGGCCTTTTTGGTACCAATCTTCAAATATACTAAATTTTTTTTAATCTTCAAATATACTAATGTTCATTTAGTTTTAAATCTGAAAAAGGAAGACAATTAGCATGCATTGGCCCTAGGGCAGGGGTAAGAAAAGCAGCTTACCTTGCTTGGAACGGGATTCGCTCTCCTGATGTGAAACCTGAACTAATCGAGCCCGTAATGGCACCCTCCTTGCATTATGCTTCTTTGATTTCTTCCTGCCGTCGAATGAAAAACAAGAAAAGAAGCTCATCTCTTGATCACAAGCTTTTCCAAATAATAACTCCAATAAGTAATCCCTAAATCTACAAGAAAGGATCAACTCAATTCAATGTTCTCTTCCAAAATCGAATAAAAGGGGGTGTTAGCCGCAAAAACCCACGCAAAACTCTGAAAGAACAAAATCTGTTAGGGCACAAAAATAAAATACAGGAAGGGGGTTTGACGCTGTGGGGTGGGAATTGTAGGAAGTTAAAAAGAAAGAGAAAGAAAATGACTTGGGCGACAAATGAAAGGAAGAGAGACATTGGATTGTTTTGATTACTGGTAATTTCTCCAAAGAAGAGGAAGAATATTTGAGGAAATGAAGTGAGCGGAGGAACAGAATTAGCGGGTTTTCCGTTAGGGAAGAAGTTGGTATTGAGCTGTGAAATTGTTCCGTCGGATCTCGTTTAAGCTGTTTGAATTTTTAATCTAACGGTAAAAAAGGTTGATATTCATACCAAACATTTCAACAAAATTATGGTCGAACTGAAAGTCTCGATAACATAAATATATCATTTGAGTCCAATAGAACCCAATCAAGTCTTGAAGTACACTTGAAAACTTCTAAACATTGTTTCAAATAACAAAGTTTTAATGAGACGAATCTAATGAGCGAAAGATCACTTGATCTTGACATTATTAATGTCACGCCCCAAAATCTAATTATAAAAACATAAATAACTGGATTTACAAAATAATATGTCCTTAAACAAAAAACATACATATAGTCTAGAGTTCAAACTTATCAACCCTACTTATTGGGGATTTATCCTTTCCTGAAATGACATTGAAACAACATATATTATTAGCATGAGCAAACCACTTGTTTAGTAGGCTACCCAAAATATAGAAAAGAATTCAATATTCATAATAAAGTAAATTGTGTAAGAAATAAACAAGAGGTTTTATAGTTCAAATAAAGTGATATGGCAATTATACAATATTTTATCGGTAATGTGATTACAACTGTACATTTAATTATTAACAGTGATTACATATCAATAGCATGAATTTATCAACAACAACAACATAATTATTTTTTGAACTTCTACATGGAAATAATATGAATTTCATGTAAAATCGAACATAAAGTCATAATAAAATGCACTACATATATGCAGATTATACATAACATGATTCAAATGCACATGTTCTAAAGCCTCGTTATATCTCCAATTTCACTTACACCTTCATTTGATCATTTCACATCTTTGTAGGACAAATAGAGAATTTCATATAGGCTGACTCCCCTTAGAGCTCTATTTCCATTTACACATTCACTTATTCATCTCACATCTGTTCAAGATAAATGGAGGAAGTACAATATGCATATGCCCTTATAATTCCACTTATATTGTACAAAACATGAAACATCTGCCACTTGTATCACTTCATTTCTCCAACATATGAACCTGGCATGTCCATTTCATCACATGTACATGGAAAAATCAATATTTTTAACATATATGAATGACATTTAGCATAAGGCATGAATACATGAAAGTAGCACATATATCACTGTTTCAATCGTATGTGTCGGGTAAACATATACAAGTGGCAGATGTTTATAATAATTCAAAAAATCATTCGTGGGGAACATTTATAGTATTATTTTAAAGTATTTATTTTATTTTAATAACTTTTAGAAATAATAGCATTTTTACAAAAAAATCTTAAATAGAGTATAAACCCTAATGCTATTTTGCTCCTAAAAAAATGTTTATTGGAACTTCTAATAAATAAAGATCTCAGCATCATAGCAATACCCTTCAACGCCACAACATTCCCAAGTGCTTTCTCACATATAGAGAACGCAATGCCGCCATTATAGTGATGCAACACCCCCAAGGAGATAATTATTTTAACCATCAAATAGAGAACTTAGCGTTATGGCACCACATCACCTCACTAATAATGTCGTGGTGCCTCTATATAGTATTTTACACTTATTATTCCTTACTCTTCAATTTCAACCCAAACCCATTTTAACAAAAAATTAAACTTAGGAACACATTTAAACTCACAAAAATAATCAAGTATTTAATAGTCTTAAAATTCTTAATAAAAATGATTCGGGTAAATATATGTGATCTAGTTATTGCAAGAGCAATTATTATATTTAAGACACTTAAATGATGTATAAATAATTAATAATCATGATTAATGATCAAGGGGATGAAAAGCATATTCTCCTATTGTTCCAATTAGAAAGATAAATCATAGTTTCATTTCCATAATTAAATATAAAGGATATTCAGCTCACTGTGAAAGCAAATCTAGTATCGTTCTATCTTTTTAATATGAAGTTGAATATAAAATATGGATCAGGCAAAGTCTGCTTTCACAGATTTTTCCCCTACCTTAGAAAGGAAATTAAGGTAGGGTTTATTTTATTAAGTGTTTAGACTTCCTATAGGGGTAAGCCCCTATAGTTACATACATCTCCTAAGATAATGCTCTCGATTTAAATGAAGATTAAATAATTTTAAAATATATAAAATTAAAGAAATATTTGGGAAAATTAAATTTCTATACACATGCTTTAGATTATAAACTATAACACTGAGATTATGATTTGATTTAAATTAGAAGAAAGAATGTGAAAAGAGAAGAGTGTATATAATTTGAACTTACCACTTTCCTAAAGTGAGCTGCCAGCTAACAATCCTAATCACAACAATCGCCAATGAATGCAAGATTTTAAGGAGGGCCTATCCTAGGAATCAAGGAATGATTATAGAAATTTGAATCAAATGCAATATAATATGCTTATAAAAATAGAAAATCTACACGTATGCCTATGATGCAAAATAATATAAATGAACTGACTTTATTAATATAAAATTTACAGAATACAACCCAGTGTCGGCAATAAAGTAAAGGTGGCCAGGTCCCACCGATAACAAACCTAGATTTTAATCCTATAAGAACATCTAGAATCAAATACAACTACTTTTGGTCTTCAAACAAAAAGTCTTCTATTGAATTCAAAAAGGAACATCCTCTTGAGAGAGGATATTACTTTTTGGATTCCCACCTCTATATGTATAAGCAATTGTCTTTGATTCTTTTACAACTCACAACACTGTATAACTCGATCTATATATAATAATCCACAAAATTGAAATATATAGATCATATTTTACATTTATATCATCTCCTGGTAACATTCTACTTTGCAGGAAAGTAAATGCAGTTACAAGTGCATTGTGACCAGTTATATATACTTATGTAGGAAAGTAAAGTAAACTAAAGACACGGACGTCACTTATTCACTCCGCTCTCTGGTGCACTGAAAGAATAGTAAATATACATGCTATGATTTTCAAAAAGGTAAGAAAATACACCTAGGTGCCTTCTATGAAAGGCACTCTCAATCAAACCACTTCAATCCACCAGCCTAGCCTAGACTAAAGTTGGTTGTCCTACCAAACCATTTAAGTGTGTGAAAAATGTAGTGTAGTTTTAATATGTCCTATAGGGATGTATATTTGAATTGCATGTATTATTAAGGTTTTTTTATTAATGGCCAAAGGAAAATTTAATTAAAGTTTAAATCATGTGTATTTGACTTTTAAATTATTCCAATTTTTAAAGTTAGAGTTATGGATTTAATTTTAAAGAACTTTTAGAATGATAACTCCATAAGTGCAAGGAGTTATCAATTTATAAGACCTAAGGCCTTCAAAATGAACACCCATCCTCTAAGTAAGACATATGAACGTATGAGAGACTCTAAAATTTATTAAAGAGAGAGAAAGGGACCATATGAATATAAATACAACATACTTTCCAAAAGGAGTTGAGTATGCCACATAAGGGCAGTGTGTTATTAATTGTTTAAAGATCCTCCAAATTTAATATGTTAGCACCATCCTAAAAGGAACCATGCACAACACCATAAGAGATCTTTTGGTTGTTTAGGTGTATTTAAAGGTCATTAAATCAAAATGCCTAAAGCGGCCTCCAAAAGGAATCAAGCTTTAGGCATAAAGAATCTTAACTCATTTAATCCAAATTAATTATGAAATTTAATTGATTAAAATAAATTTTAATCAATCAAATTATCAAACTAATGTTTTTTCAAAGAATTATAATTTAATTTAAATTTTTATGAATTTTATTGTAATATTAAAATTTTTAATTATCTATTAAATTTTTTATTGAATTTAATTATTTATTAATAATTTGTTAATGAATTAAAAAGAAAACTTATTCAAAATTTTATTTAAACTTAAATTATTAATATTTGATTTTTGTTTAATTTTGTTTGAATTTAAATATATTTTTGAATTGTATTTCTTATATTTAATGAATTTTTAATGAAATTATTTAATTAAAGATTTAGAAATTAGAATTTAATTGAAAATTATTTAAAAAATGAATTTGTAAATTTCTTAAATTATTTTATTTTATATTTTAAAATTTTATTTGAATTTCAATGAATTTATTTGGTTAATAATTAATTAAATGTAATGTCAATTAATAATTATATTTAAATGAGATTTATTTTGGATTGGAATATTTAATAATTTTATGATTGATTTGAAATTAACTGAAGTTGATTTTTTATTTTTAGAGATTTTTTTATTTGATTTATTAGATCTATTTTAATGTGAACCCTTAATGAAGGGTTAAATTAATTTAATAGTTGTTTGAGATTAATTAATATCCAAATGGGGTATATTAGATCATAAGGTACATGACATTAGTTTTTTATGTTTATGTATCATCCCAAAAGGGACATGTGTAGTTGTTCAAGGATTGATTTAAGTAAGCTAAGACAAGATCCTTAATTATTGTGCTTAGTATCATTAGGTTATAGGCTTAAATCATTGTTTACTAACCATTGAAACACTAATTACAATCACATCATTGCAATCAATAACAAGATAAGGTGTCCTAAAATTCTATGGGATTATTCATAGTGAATTATTAGGGTTATAGATCACATAGTGATATATGAACTTAATAATTAACTATGAAGATATGGCTATATATATACCAATATTCTAATACAAGTAAATTTTGTCAAATCAAGCATAATTATAACTCAAATCTATTTTCCAATGAAAGAGAGCATTCACTGATACCATAGAACTCTAACATGCTTTGATTAGTGTTGAATTCAACTAGTTATGAATTTGTAAATATCTAGGTCAAATCATGACCAAGATTCTTATAAATTAATAATCTAATTTAGATTGCATCAAAAGACTTTGGAAAAACTAAGGAAGATAAGAGATAGATCCTAAAATATCTTTGACCTTTTCCAAAAATAGGGTGGTGTCTACGCCCCCTTAACAAAGGTTCTTTCTAGTAAGAATGTTCTTAGCCTTCCATACCATGCT